TACACCACCGTGCCTGCGGAGCAACCAGTTCATCACATTATCTCATATTACCAGGGAAATGCTGCCCAAACAAGCTTTGAACCCTTACACCAATAATCCATCACCCCTTCCCCTAACCCAAACCAGCATCTCCCGGGCAGAGGGGCTGCGGACCCCTGCCCATCCCTGGGCACGGCTCCCACCTGCTCCCCCTGCTCTGCTCCCAGCTCTGCCCACTCCACCCCCAGTTTGAATTCGGAGCCTGCTCCAGATCCATTTTTAATTTAGTTCACAACAAATGACTGCAGCTGAATTATTTCTTTTTTCAGCTGCTTTTCCTGACATTCAGGTGTCAGAGCTTCCAGCACATCTCCTCAGATCTCTCCAGCTCACAGCAATTAGCTCTGGCATATTCTGCACAGAAAAGCCAGCACCAAGCTTCTGAAATGTGAGAGAACTTGGCTGATAACGAGTTCTCAACCCTTGCAGCTAGAATGATGCTCCTGGATGCATTTAAATAGCCTCAGTTACCGCACAGATACAAAACGAGGCTTTACCTTTCCTCTTGGCGTGAGCCAACACATCCGCAGCACCCCGGCTCATTATTTTGGTGACATAGAGGGGGCAGTTGGCTTGCCGGGCGATGGTGATGGCACGGTACACCGCCTCCGCCTCCACCTGCGGGGACAAGGACACGGGCAGGGACGGGGCTGGCTCGGGGCCCCCCGCTATGGCTGAGCCCGTGGGGGGTGTGCGGGGGGCTGCAGCCCTTACCTCCTCAGGGCGGCTGAGGACGTGCCCTTCCGGCCCCGTAATCCCCAGCTCCAGCAGCCGCTTCTGCTCCTGGGGGGAGAGGAAGGAAAAGCATCAGTGATGGGGAACGGCGGGGACAAAACCCTTCTCAGAACGACCCGCAGGGTGATGGCAGGGGCATGTAGTGATAGGATGAGGGGTAATGGATTCAAACTGGAAGAGGGGAGATTGAGATGAGATCTGGGGAAGAAATGTTTCCGGGTGCAGGGGGTGAGGCAGTGGCCCAGGGTGCCCAGAGAAGCTGTGGATGCCCCATCCCTGGAGGGGTTCAAGGCCAGGCTGGATGAGGCTTTGGGCAACCTGGGCTAGTGGGAGGTGTCCTTGCCTGTGGTAGGGGGTGGCACTGAGTGGGCTTTAAGGTCTCTCTCCACCCAAACCACTTCATGATTCTATGACTCT